ATTCTGTGATTCTGTGATTCTGTGATTCTGTGACTTTGGAGAGCTCAGTGTGATCCCAGCAGGAATCTTCCCCAGCTGACCCTTGTCCTCTCCTCTGTCCCCAGTTATCTGATGCCTTGGCCAACAGCAACAACCCAGCCCCCTGTGCCCCCCCAGCCCAGGGCTGGCCCTCCTGGGGCAACCAGCCAGCAGCTCCTGGTGCCTTCCCAGGGTATCCTGGAGCACCTGGAGCCTACCCTGGAGCACCTGGAGCCTATCCTGGAGCACCTGGAGCATACCCTGGAGCCCCAGGAACCTGTAATCCAGGACCTGGAGCATACCCTGCAGCACCAGGAGCTTATCCTGGAGCACCTGGAGCTTATCCTGGAGGACCAGCAGGACCAGGAGCATATCCAGGAGCACCTGGAGCATTCCCTGGAGCTCCACCAGCAACAGGGCCATATCCTACCCCAGGACAACCATCCAGTGGCCCTGGCTTTGGGCCTTCTGCTCCTCAGGGAGGACCAACAGCTCCCCAGGGAGGACCAACAGCTCCGCAGGGAGGACCAACCCCTCCAATGGTAATGGCTCCATCATGATGAGGGTTTCTGTGCCCTCAGTGGCTGATTTTGCTTGGCCATGGGAAGGGACTGGGCTGGCTGTCCCCAGGGGTGGCACTGGGCTTTTGACGTGGTTTCTTGCTGACACCAAATGCCTGTTGTCTCCCAGAAAGTCCCCTTTGAGCTGCCCCTGCAGGCAGGACTCGTCCCTCGGCTGCTCATCACCATCACTGGGACTGTGAACCCCAACCCAAACAGGTACTGGGGGGTCCAGCTCCGAGGGTGGGGGGATTCCATGGGCACTGCTGGGTGGAGCAGGGGGGCTGGAATTTGTTTTCTATTCCTGAATAACCCCTGCCTGGTGTGACACCAAATATTACACCAAATAAACGTGAAAATGCCCTGTTGCCCTATGGGGTCTGTGGGGTTTTATCTCTGCTATTTTTGGGAAGCCCTGTAACAGATTTCAGGGCTTTTGTGGCAAAAGCAGAAACTCCATTACTGTTTTTGCAGGTTTTCACTGGATTTCAAGAGAGGGAATGATGTTGCCTTCCACTTCAACCCCCGCTTCAACGAAGACAACAGGAAAGTCATCGTCTGCAATTCCATGTTCCAAAATACCTGGGGGAAGGAGGAGAGGACAGCTCCCAGGTTTCCATTTGAAGCTGGAAAACCCTTCAAGGTACCAGAAAAACCCATCCCAGCTCAGTCTCAGTGCAGCAAAAGCACTGAGAGGGTTTGGGCAGCAACGCCTGTGTAAGGACAATGATGCTTTTGCACAGGAATCTGCTCCCAGGGCTGTTTCTGGGGCAGCCACCCCATGTGCTGTCCCTACAGCTCTTCTGACCCCCTCCTGCAGCTCCAGCTGCCCAGGGCATAACTTCTCCCCCGTTCTGGTATCCCCATGGATTATGAAACCCTCTTTATTTACACTGTTGCTCTGCACAGTGGTTGGACAGGTTTCTGTAACGTGTTTTCCCTACTGGCACCTCGTCACGAGGTGTTTTTACCTGCAAAGGAGGTACACAATGTGGAGTCTTGCTTTGAGGGACTGGCACAGGGATGAGGAGGCAGAAACTGGGCTGAAACACGGAGGAGGGAGAGCAAGGAGAGTTTTGGGAAGGCAAAGGTCGCTGGTGTTGCAGCTGAGCTGCTGCAGCAGCTCCTCCACATGCCCCAGGGCTGGACTCAGCTGGCAGCAGCCTCCAGCCAGTGCCAGCCTGCTCGGGGTGTGTGGCTTAAAACTTCTCCTAGGACAAATCCAGCTGGGTTTTGGGGCTGATCTGGGGTTTTTATTTCAGCTCCAGGTCCTTTGTGAGACGGATCACTTCAAGGTGGCCGTGAATGATGCACACCTGCTGCAGTACAACTTCCGTGAGAAGAGGCTGAACGAGGTCACCAAGCTCTGCATCGGGGGGGACATCGCCCTCACCAGCGTGGTGCCCACCATGATATAACTGGGGGGGCTCTGGGCAAACCCTGCTCTTTTATGGTGTAACACAAGTGCCTTCTCACCAGCTCACTGTGAGGTAATAAAACATTTAACCTGTAAAATTGGGTTTAATCATATCTTAAAAGGCACGACACGCTCCAGGCGAGCTGAGTTTTGATGTGGAAGGAGCTGAACTCCTGCTGTAGAGGCAGCAACAAGGAGTTGGATTTCTGTGGAGAGGAACTTGGGAAAGCAGCCTGTGGCATTCTGCCCCTGCTCCTGTGAACAGGGGCAGCAATCCTCTAGGAAGCACAGAGAAAACCTGACAGCCTCCAAGCCTGCCCAGGATGAGGCATTTCAGGAGAGGGTTCAGAGCTGGAGGAAGCAAAATCTCTCTGCTGGACCGTGGCTGGAGAAGCCATCCCTGTCCTTCATTTTTGGGGGCCCAAACCAGCGTGTCCCAGGAACATTTCCCACCCCAGGGAGATCCCATCCCTACAAGTGTTACGTGCTCCATGAACGGGTCACGAGGCTTGTGCTGCTCCCCACTCATCACCCCTGTGTGAGTCAAGAGCAGTTTCAAGGGTGGGGACGTTTATTGGCAACTTCACCCCGTGAGTCAGGCTGGTAAAAAAAGAAAACAGAAGTATGTTCCCTTTGCTGTGAGTCACTGCAGTCTTGTCTGGAAAACAAGAACAGTGCAACAGCCACCACTGAAGTTTCCAAAGCTTTCTCTGACGTGGCTCATGCTGTTTTATAACAGTGACTCCTTTTATGCTTTGAGTGCCAAGTTACAAGCAGAGTCCTTAAAATTTCCAGCAGATGCAGAAATCTAGAGCAGCACGACATTGCTACCACCAGCATGGAGAAGCTGTGGCTGCCCCAGCCCTGGAAGTGTTCCAGACCAGGTTGGATGGGACTTGGAGCAACCTGGTCTGTGGAAGGTGTCCCTGCCCATGGCAGGGGCTGGAACTGGGTGGGCTTTGAGTTCCCTCCCAACCCAAACCATTCTTCAGCAGGAAAGTCATTAAAAGGATCCCTAGAACTGGAGTTAGAAATGAAGAAAATGGATTCCAGCACACATCAGCTTCCTCTCTTTATTCAGTGTAATCAGTACACAGCTTCCAGGTTAAAACTTAACCCCTGGCAGTGGCAGCAACACTTCCTGCTGAGGGACTGAAATCTCTGCTTGGTTTGGGATCAAGGCTGGTGGAAGGATGTGTGTGTTACACTCAGGTCACTGGTACAAGAAGCAGCCCAGTGAGGTATTTGTTAAAAATATAACAAATGGTGGTACTGTAATGCTACTCCTCAAATCCACAGTCTATAGAACTGGCATGATCCTTGTGCACAAATATGTTACAGTCTGGATGGGGAATGCACAAGGAACAAGATGAGAGAAGAGACTGAGCACAAACATGTCAAAAACGAGTAGAAAACATGGGTCTATTAAGATACTGAATAGAAAACTGCATCCTTAAAGGAAATAATATCAATGCCTATTTCAATACATCACCAAGAAAAGGTATTATCTGACTTAGAAATTCTTGTTCTGAGTTAGTTTCTGCTATTACAAATCCAATGGTTACACACCAGGAAAACTTTCCCAGGAAAGAACTGCATGCATCCAACCCTGCCAGAGCTGGTGCTGAGGCAGGTGTTAACACACAGGTACCCCCAGAGCATGGCAGAGTGTTCTGGGGAGGGAACAGGCTGGGTCTCACCCCAGCAGATACAGGGTACAGGCACAGCTGGAGGGGTGGGCACCTTGTAATAACAACAAGTCATGAGGTCAGTCAGATCAGGGTAGAAAAGCTTAAAGGTGAACAGTTTTACAACCTGGAGGAGACAGGAGATACATTAAATGATACCAACATAAAAATGCTTCAGGTTGCAGTCAGAGTTTACAGCCAGATACAGCAGGGATCACCAGAACACAGCCCACTACTGCTGTACAGCAGAGCTTGGTGCATCACAACTGCACCATCAAATGATACACACCCCATTATCACATCCATTACCACGGGTACTCTTCCTCTCTCAACACAGTTCCAGGGTAGCAGACTGTGTTCCAGATACCCTCTGTGGGCTTCCTGTTCATAGAATTTACATATTTTGCACTTAAAGTCACTTTTTAATGATCCCCAGAGGGACCAACAGGAGAAAACACGATGAGGTCACTGAATACTTCAGCTGCTGCAAACTTCTGGGCTTTGGTCTTGACTGGAGTGAAGGGAAGCTCAGCATCCAGCATTGGCTGTGGGAGGAGCCAGAGAGTGGAGTCAGGGTTTGAGGAACACAAACCACAGAGCACTGGAAGGACTCTGATTTCCCCAAGGGTAATTTTGCAATTTGCCTTATTTCCCAGGCATAAAATAAAAAGTGATTACACATGGTCCGTGCTGAAGACAGACACTCCTTACTCAAGTCAGTAATCCATATTTTAAAGAGGATTTTTCACAAGAAAACCTACACCCAAATCCTATTAATTGTGTTAAATGTGAAAGCTTTTGCACACCTGCTTTTCCCTGCTAGAATGTTACTTCCAGCTCTAAATGCTGAGGTGATTAAAAAAGATTTGGGGTAGACTTAAAAAATTCCAAAAGAAAAAAAAAAGGCTGTTAGTGAATATCTGCAAGGAAATTTGCAAGAAACACAATTTAAAGGCTCAATCTGACAAGAATCAGACATTGTCCTGCTACAAATATCTTGATTCATCCTACACTCATTGTGTGCAATAAGAAACACCACTGTGAGCCCAGCAAGGAAACAGCTGGAATGTGGTTTGTATTTGAAGTTATATCAACTGGCTTGATAACATCTTTAAGAGTTTAATTTTCTTTGTGCAGTAACTGAGTCTGCAGCAAAGGTGAACAGTCCTGCAACATGCAGCTTGCCTTAGTCAAATAAACTTGAAGGTCAGCTTACCATATCAAAAGGATTTCTGTCAATGAGTGCCAAATCAGTGCATGAAACATCTGAAAAATCAGTACATAATTAAAAAAAAAAAAGTTAGTCTGATGCTGCCAAAGCTGAAAAAACAGTATTGTTTTCTGTATTCATTAAAAGAAGAAATCCAAACTCTAAACTGTATTTATTTCTTTATATTAGCTTTCTCCCTCACATATCCCTCAGAAACTGTTCAGAGAAATCCAGGGGCACTGTTTGCTCATGTGCAACGTGTGTTTGAGTCACACCAGCTAAGGGAGGCTTTTCTAAGAGCACCCACAAACCAATCTGATTTCAAAGAGTAATACTCAGGTTATCATAAATCCTTAGGATAGCAGAAGGGCCCAGCAATGCCCCCCAAGCTGCACCATGCAGCTCTAAGATAAGCACCTGTCTGATGTGTTTGTGGCTCTCCAGACTGAGCAGAGTTTGTCTCCTTCTCCGGGCTGCACATGATGATGTCTTGTTCCTGTTCTGCAGCAGACAGTTCCATCTCTTCCATGCTATCCACTGCTTTTGATTCACTGCTAGAACTTCCCAGGACCTGAAAAACAGGGATTTTCTCTGTTCCCAGCCATGTTCTTGTTATGTCACACCAAGCCCACATATCTAACCCACAGATTTTATGGAGAGTTCAGGAGAGATGGAGTTTTAACTCCAGGCACTGTGCAAGGCACAGGCAGGCCAAGGCTCAGGGTTAAGGCTGTGACTCCAAACCCAAACACCCTTTAAAGCCTAAAAATCCCTCTGACAGTATAAGGGAAGTTTTTCCACAGGAAAGAAGGTTTTGAACTTCAAGTATTATCTGGTGACTTTTCCTACAGAAAAACCCATCAGCAACACCAAAAGCTTTCCCCAGAGAGTGAAATCACCAACTCTCATTTTAATAGAGAAAGGATGAAGTAAAAGCACTAAGAAAAAATTAGTAACCAGGATTAAAAATAAATTATATATGTAGGGGGATAGAGGGGAAATGACTGCTGCAGTCATGCACAGATCCAAGCAGTAACAAATAAAATTTAAAGACTCCATTTCCAATGAAAGTTACTAAAGGATGATTGACTCCAAAGCACTGACTTTCACTGGTAGCACAGTATCATCTAAATTAGAGGCCACATTCCTGCTTTTTTAAGGCTACTCTAACACAGGCAATGTCACCAAGTCTTCAGAAATTTCAGGACATGGATTTCTGACACTTGGATTAGCTCTTGCTGTACCTTTAAGGAGATTAAGAGCCCAGTGCTCTGCTGTGGAGGATGCTGAGGACTGAGTGCTGTTGCTTTCAGTCAGGGTCCATAAATGCACATAATGCATTATTATATTACAATTATATTGCATTATTATTGTATTACATAATGCATTATTATACTTTAAATGCATTTTAAAAATCCCCACCAGAAAACAGGAGGTGGTGGACTTCTAGGAACATTGCTTCTCCAAGTGACAAGTGTCCCCCTGGAGCAGCCAGGACCTCCAAAACACAGCTCTAAAGAGCAAGGCAAGGTCCCCAAACTGCAGCAGTCCCTACTTTTGTCCACCCAGAGGTAAAAAGCACTGCCCTGAGGAATACATGAGATTTGTAAATGAGGATTTGATCAGAAGTCCAAGTGTCTGGGGTAATCAAAAGAATTTTTCCTTTGCTAGTAATAACAGAGCATGTAAAGCACATCCATGAACAATGCATGACTTACCTTATTTCCCTCTGCTGTGCCAGCAACCAGGCACATTTCTTCTGCAACCACAGAAGTGCTGGAAGAGAAACCAAAACGTTTTCATTCTTCTCAATCATCTTCATCAATCACCTTCTGACTTGTCGAACTAATCTTACAACTTGTTCTGCAGTTTTGCTGCCTTGGTTGGCACTGGTGAGCTACATTAAACTCAAACTTCCTGGGCAAACAAACTTCTACCCCAGCAGCAAAATTACATTTGGGCAAGGCTCTTAATATTTGCTTAAGGGAAGGAAAAGTCACAAGTACTTTGCAAACTTTATCACTGCCAAATCGAAAGGTAACATTTAATGGGTTTTAACATCATGTCTTTCAGTTCCAACTCTAAAATGATTTGTACAAGGTTAATTAAAAGCTGCTTTAGCATGCCTACCTTTGTTCAAGACCTTCAGGGAGTTTATCCAATGGGGGAGTTTGTTCAGTGGGAAGTTGGTCCATTTTCAAACTCTGTGCTGGG